GTTTTCATGTGAGCTGTTGTGATAGACATTCAATGGATGTGAAATTAAGTGTGATGAGTGTCAAGGGCTATTTTTCTAACTTTCTTGACTCCTGATTAAAAAACAGCAATTACAAGAGTGATCCGAAAGATATACACTACATAGCTATTTGGTAATCTAAGCTTCTTACATGACGGTGGCACGTGGGAGTCCCCCACAGGGGCACAACACAGAAGCCATCTAAATCCTGTTCGTGTGTGTGCAAGATGATCCTCCTGACCCAAAAAGGCACGATCAGTTACACTGTCAACCAGTCTTTGTCCAAACCTTTGCGCTGCTTTAATAACAGCCATATTTCCATAACTTCAACTTATGTCACAAAACAGGAAATGCGTGGGTAGGTGGGAGAGTGAATAGGGGGGACTTTCAGACTAAAATGTCAAGCTGTGCTGTTATTTGTTCATTTATTTATGTCGCTTCCTGTCTTTGTTGCCGGGTCAGACTGCACCAACCGAAACATTTGCAGGTTGAGGCCTTGCACTTTCAAAATGTACACGCACGCATGCAAAAACTTGCAGTTAAACTGTTGGCACGTTGTTGCTCACAATGTACATGGTTCCTGACCCCATACATGTCGACACAATGTTGTAATACTCTGAGGCTCATTGCAACACCAAATATTTTGTTCAGGTTGAGGTGTTGCAGAACGATATTTCGAAACCATAAAAACTCCACACTCATGTTGAAATGCACCAAGTGGACATTTCATTGTATTGTGTGTGAAAACAGAGATGATGAAAATCAGACAAATTCCCTCGGGCAAGTTAGCCGTTCAGAGACCCCTTGAAATGGTCAAAATGGCACAGAAATTGTAGTTTTGAACCAATATGGCTGACTTTGAGTCTTCTGTGCCATGGCTTCGAGAATTTTTGTAGATTTACTCATGAAAGACAGGCCTACCAAATTCAGTATTCTTGAGGGGAAACCGGCCTAAAGACGCTGACTTTTTAAAAGGTTTCAGTAGGCACTACAGATCCAAATTATCACCGGGAGGGTTGTCCACTTAAAAAATAAAATAAAATAAATACATAGTGTCATTCCTCAACTAGACACCGCTACATACTCGTATGTCTGAGAGTGCCATCCAGTGTGGTAGAACACAACATAAAAAGACGACAGAGCGGACATGGCATCTGTAAAGCTGAAATATACACCGGAGCTCAAAGTGGAGTCTTCCAAAATGCATTTGTACAAATAAATGCCTTTCAAAGTAATCTCACTGTTCAGCTGCTCTTTTATGGCCAGTGAAGAGTTGGCGCACACAACAGGATGAAATCACAGAAGAATAATCAGCGACCGGTCTTGGCATCCAGTTTGTCTGTTTCTCTCATATCACACCATCGCTTGGACTTCTCTCCCCCTGGCCAATCAGCAGCTGAGCTAATCCACACTTCCTGTCTTGAGGTTCGCTACAGGAAGCCGAGCGTGGGTGGAGGGAGAACGTCCAAGTTCATTGTCCAGGAATGTGCGGCAAAGAGATCCAGCGGAACGGGAAGTTAAATATTAACCCACTCGAGCGAGTCCGGTGCACCACCTGAGGACCAAAAGCCATCCAATCAAAACGGACCACGTTTGCTTCAGAACCTGAATGGAAAAAACAAGTTCATTTTAGCTGAGGCTGCTAGTGCCAACAGCTTCAGGCTTGTGAGTTCATGATGATGTCAGTTATTTCCTGTCGGATGAATGATCTAATTTGCTCAGCAATTAAAACACACAATCACCGCAGCAGATTTTGGATGAAAAATGTTGGGAGGTGCACCAGCCAGGACAATACATTTCATCATGAGGAAGCACTTATGAGTTCATCAAACACAAAACGTTTGGTCAAGCTCTAACCTTCTGGTGTTGACTATTTCGAGTTTTGTGCTTTATATAGTGAGGCATCAAACTTTGATGTCATACTCCAGCCACTTTTTTCCACAAATAAAAATAAATAAATAAAAAACCCATCTGTCTTGTGCACAAGGAAAGGAAAAATTGGTAGCAATCAGATAAAATGTCTCAGTGTTTTCCAGAGAAGGACCTCTGGCAATGGACAAAATTTCCATTAAAAAAGCAGATTAAAGCCAACATGGCTGACGTGATGTGCATTTCAGGTATGGTTTCTTGAGACTTTTTTTTGTGGCTCTACTCATGATTAAAATTCCGAAGAAATTTAATTTTGGCTAGCTTTGTGCCAGGGAAAATCACGACGCTGATAACGTAAGGTGGTGGTGGTGGAGGGGTTTGATCTGTTGTTTCTTATTCTGTAGTTGGCACAAAATTACCATGGAGGCGGCTGCCACACAATTTTGAACACAGGAAAAACCCTGTTATCATCATTGGTTTTAAACATGCACGGATGAACGCGAGTGTGTATTCCTGTCACAAGCACTATTATCCCACAGTGCCAATCGGCCGGCGCGCAGGGAGCTGCCAGCCCAAAGCATCAGCTGTTTGTATTGGCCTTTTATTACTAAAAGTGACGGTGGAATGTTTCCAGAGAACATGGTGTTAATTAGCTCACATGAAAATGGCCACACTGAAGCTGAACAGTGGTGTTAAAAAAAACAAAAAAACGGGAAGTCATCATGGGAAGTTAAGATGGGCAAGTCGACCCAAACATTTTTTTGAAGATGTTCAATGCCAAATTTAGCGTCTTGTAAAACAGCTGGCAATGTGGAGAAATTTGCTTTGAAAACGGCTAGCAGTGAATGAGCTAAGAGCAAACCTTCGAATTTTGTAAATACCTGGTTTGTTCCCATTAAATCCCATGCATACAATCCAGCATTAACAATTCCTGTAATTTTGCAACTTTGATGCTAACCAGGCATATCAAGATGACATGTGAAACTAGTTGAGGAAGTAGTTGTTCCGAAAAAGAAGAAGTAATCATGCAGCATATCAAAGGATGCTTTTAAACTTTGTCACCACACACTGCCCGTGTCTCATTTTATTGACTGAGGTGTGGCCTTTCCCCCTACCTATTTCTTCAAACATGAGCAGCAGTAAAGATGCTACAGTTGTTGCAAGACCGAACACCAAACAAATTGAGGCTAAGAATGTCATTCAGGACTTTCAGAACACTTAAAAGTTTACGAGGTCTGACCGCAGTGTTCCAATCCAACCTAAAAGCTGAAATCTGACAGTCTTACATAAAGACCGATAAAAGAGAAGAAGCCATTGAGAACAAAACATAGAAATATGACTGGCCAATTATTGCCAGGCACATTTTAGGGCGTTGATAATCAGGACAGGAAGTCAGACAAATTTAACATTCCAAAATCATTATCTGAATCATCTTTATTCGTCAAGGGAATTTGTCGGAATTTGGCCTGAGCCGCTCTCGTATTAGAGCAAACAAGCCACTATATCAAAATACAGTAGTGCCTTGAGGTACGAGTGACGTATTTTCTGCTTTGGCTTGCGTGTGCAGACTTGAGATACAAGTGCCGTATGGTGGCAGCGAACTCAACTGAAAGAACAATCTCCCCCCGCCCCCTCCCCAAAAAAGCTTCAAATTATTCATTGCCATTCACAGTTGTTTACTGTGAAACAAAAATAAAACAAACTATTGTGTAAAGCAACCACAAAGCTTGGTCTTTCAGTCCACTAACTTAATGCTAATACTAGTTGGCATGTATTTGCAGCATTATAACACAGTTCGCAACAGATTGAAGACAAATGGTGCCGCAAAACACACACACACACACACACACACACACACACACACACACACACACAAACTTTTTTTTTAAATGTCTTAACATTAGCTCTTTACAAAAAAGCCCCTTATAAACATATAGTTAATCAATGTTTGATGGCTATAGATTGATTATGACTAGTATTTCCTATTTGAGGGTGGGGGGACAGTTTAAACATTTACAGTGCTGACACACTAGGGTGTGCATGCCTGCAGCATGAGAATGTGCTTGAGGTATGACAAGGACACTTTCAAGTAATGTGTCATGGGGCTAGAATTAGATGCTCAATGCCAGAGAGAGCGCCGCGTAGCGGCCAAATCACATCAAAGCACAGCAAAGGGTGTGAAAATGCAGCTCGACAAGAGTTTCAGGCCAGCCCGGTCACCCGGGCTCTTCCTGTCCCGCCTCTTCCTCCTTGTCTCCACCCACCTGGTCAGCTTTTACCTTATAAGGCAACGCACCCAACCGCCTCTTACGGTGACGACAGTGATGTAACGGGGCAGCAAGCTCCCGCCGACACACCGCCATCAAGGTGACAGTGCAGTCCCCCCTGCCCTCAAAATTGTTCTGCTTTGTGCGGTCTAACACAACAACGCATACACACATGCAAGCACACACAACTGCATCCTCACTGCTCTCACATTTTCACTCTTTCTCTCACACACACATGAAGTTCGACAGACAGCACATGACAAAGCAACTTCAATCAAAACCAAGACTTCCTGGGAGTGTCCTCAAATAGCCTCCTGTTCAGTGGCTTCACAAAAGACAGCATGAGTCAAATCAAATAAGCGGCGTTCTGCTGACATTACATTGGAGTGACTGAGAAAAAAATGTCAAGAATGCTGCCAGGAAGAACAGGAGGAAGAAGGGAAGGGAGTTCTTATAAAAAGTCCAGCAAGGATCCAGAGTTTCCGCTTGTTGATGACCCGTACAAGAAACACTTACTAGCTCCCACATTCCAGAGAACAGACACGTACATCTTTATGGCTTCAAACCTCTCTGGCCTCTTAAAGCCTGAGCAACGCACCAAAAAAATTAAAGCCGATGCCACTCCAAAAAATGAATGACAAGTCTGAACGTCAAGGACTGACATTGCAAGAAGCAGGTCAAGATTCGTTTTTAACTTGAAATATTTTGAAAAACGGGCTTTAGTAAGTACTGGGTGTTCTGTCAAAAATAAATAAATGCTGATCAACAGTTACATACAACTTTATGAAGTTACAATAATTGATTTTTAAAACGCCTTTACATGAGCAACAACGGCAATCATGCTGGACCAGTATAAAGTTGGGATACATGTATTAAATTAATTGTTCTAATATTGACCGACTGAAATGCTAATCCTGATTTAGTTCGATGCTCCGAAATATTTGCGATGATAAAAATAAAACAAAGTATAAAATGGTAATTAATTTACTGTAACTTGCTGCACGTACAGACGTTGGACGCATTGAAGAATTACGAGAATGTCCATGTTTCTAAACTGATATCAATCAGTGTGGTAATTTCGGGTCTAACTGCAAGTAGAAAAGAGGCTGGGCGGGGCTTCGTGTCGGTCTACTGCAGCCTATTGCAAGACAGGAAGGAAGTTTCTGTGGGTTTTGTGGTTTTTCTGATTATTGCCGTTTCAAGCCTGAAGTCACCGCACATATAAAGTGTGAGAAGAAGCACTCCCCAACCAACATGATGGATGGAAAGCACAAGAATACCTGAACACTGACAAAAGACAATTCTTTGGGCGATGGTTCCATCTGGTACATTTCATGACCAAATCAGCCATTTTTCGCCACAGGCAAAACAAGAAATGTAATTGTAGCTCACTCCCACTCCACTCCAACAGGTGACGGAAGGCCAATCCTTTCCAACAAGACCATTTGCTTATTCTCAAACTGGAATTACTCCAGTTGTTATATTTTCGTACTTGGCGTTTAGCTTTTCCTTCATCTTGGCCTATAATTTGTTTCGATTATTTTGGCGTTGATACTTTAAAGTCTCACGGTCTCATTCAGATTACACCGACAGGCAAGCTCCTGCCTGCCAGACTGCAATTGCTGTTGCTGTGTCCAGCAGTGTGTGTGAAATAGACAAAAAACAAGCGGCAGCCTCCAATGCCTGCACCACATCCCCGAATGAAAAGGTTTGTGTTGCTGATTCTTATATTAAAAATGTGGAATTGTTTCAGAACAATTCTTTAATGTTCAGAAAAATATAGTTTAAAATCGTAATTGTTTGCACTGTTACAGATATCTTGACTGTTAAAATGTTCACTTAAAAATGTTCAATAAAAAGGTGCTTTTTTTTGTTGGGTTGATCCGATTTTTTTGTTGGATTGATCAATTATGCCAACAAAATTTAGACCTTGTTCCTTCCACTGAAAGCACAGTCATTTAAAGGTTCATAGTTTCCACAGACAAGACACTGTACACATTAATGTTGTCCCTTTAGAAGCTCTTCTGTTACTGACGTGACATTCAAGAGGTTTAAAGGCAGGAATCTGGTTAATCCAAATTTTGTGAATGTACCCATGATAACACCTGGTGTGTTTTCTTTGGTGGAAAGTTTTCTGTCTTGTTTGGTATTAATGTGGGTCAGCAAAGACGCCTGCCGTAGGCCGCGAAACTCCCATCCTATCTGATCCAATCAAAGCTGACCCGAGGGGGATTATATAGTCGACAAAGACTCCTGTGTTGGCCGTCTGACTCGCCGTGTTGTCATTTCCAGCTTTAACGCCCTCCACGCTACTCCGGCTACGCTTGTGGCACTGGTCACAGCTCTGTTGTTGTGAAGGATTCCTTTGCTACTTTCTCTCACTTTGATCGTCTATTTTTGGTCTTCTCGCATCAACACTCAAGTGCTGATGCCACAACTGTTTTTAAGAAATGCTGTGCATGCTCACAACTCCCATTAATATGTTCAGTTTTCCAGAGTACTGGTTAACAGTCCACAACCTGGCCATTGTGTGAAGCTGTGGAGATGCAACTAAAAATAAGATACTGTAATATCAGGTTGCTTAGCAACAGCAACCCAAGCAGTTGATAGCTGAAATGCACAACTACTGCTGCAATAAAATGGTTCAAGAACAACAACATTGGTGTTACAGTTCTGATACCAACACAAAAGAAGAAATTGCCAGATTGACTTATTTCCAGCTATTCTGTGTTGGTGTCTTTCATGGACTACCTAAATACAATCCTTAGACAAAGGGAAGAAAATAATCCAGTCCGTGGGAGACTCGACAGCCAAGGATTTTCGCCATATTCTGTATTCGATAATGGCAAGTTTCAACACGAGCCGAGGACACCGGAGCAACAATAGAAGATTCTGTCGCATGGACATTATACAAAAAGGCGATACCTGGTCTTTCATGCCATGCCCAGATATTGTTTAAATTATTTTATATTCAGCTTGTAACTGGCCGTTTGTATTCATGAACGAAAACAAAAGGCAAAGAAATATAGAACAGAGTTATATCGAGAATTGATGTAGCACGCCATGATGCCAAATTTCTGATATTATAATCGCAATTGAATCGAATTATGAGACCAGTGAAAGTTCAAACCGTTCTGCACAGAGATCGTGCAAAATTGCTGTCTCAGAGCCGTAACATCCATAACATTAATGCATACGACATTGGGATGACTGTATGCGCATTCACGCTGCGACAAGACATCCCGCATACAAGCAATAAAATGCTTGAAAGTTGGAAAGTAACAACTGCTTTCAGCATAAGAGGTCGTAAGAGGGTGGAAACATCTGTCTCGAGAACTGTGGCCTACTCTGATACAAATGTGATGTTAGCCACAGAAAATTGGCTTTGTTCCCCCCCGATTCTTTTGGTAACTTCCACACAAAACAATCGCCAAGGGAAAACAACAGATTTTCTAGGCCGGTGAAAGGTGCTAGAGATGTTAATGAGGAAGCTGTTGCTGGAATCTGTTTCACGTGAGCATCTTTTCTCAGTTCTCAGCTGTGTTTTCATGTATTGGTGTTTAAAAAGCAAACAGTCAATTGTAGATTTTATTCAAATTTTGAGGTGTGTTTGGAATTTCGAGGGAAAATGCCAGAACGCAAAATTCATTTGTGTTTAATTACAGAGAGATACAGCATAGGGCAGTGGTTCTTCACCTTGCTAAAGGTACCCGAACCCAACCAGAGTGGTCTGCAGTATCATTAGGCCCTGTTGGAAAACAAAATCAGTGCTGAGATGTGGGTTTTTTTTGGATTGCTTTGGTTATTCGATTGTTCAGCCCAAATCTACATACAGCACGTCTATTCATAAATCAGAAATACATGTACAACATCATCAACACAAGGCAAATACTCCTGTACTGGCAGAGCCTATCATGTGTTCATTTTGGGGACCATGTTAATAAGTGGGAGGATAGCTTTCATAAGCATGACAAATGTTGATCATTCCGAAAGGTTTTCACTCGATTTTACCTGACTTGGGCAATTTTGAAAACATTTTGAAGACGTTATCCTGGGATAGAACGATGATTTTTACATGGAAAGATCCAAAAGGACTCCGAAATCAACTGACTTACCATGTCCACTCATACTGCACACTAACGCGAGGAGAGGATGTAAAATGAAAGTCATTTTCAAGGGATTGTGTGGTGGAAGCCGCCATAATGGAGCCCTCCACGCCCAGGGGCATGAGGGTGGGGGGTCGCGTACATGAATCTGGGGCACGAGGATCACTGTCTTAAAACAACAGACGGGTTTTGGGTCGACCCACACGCATTATGTCGTTTTCCACCAGTGGACATCTTGTGGTTTAATGCGACTCGTGTGGCTGTTGAATACATCCATGAAGACAGAAAGGTAATACAGACATTAATCCTTTCTGAGTGATTGCCCGATGAGCCAAGTTGTGGTGGCCCTGTCAGAACTGGTACAGCGAAGCTTGCTGCCAGCGAGCTGGTTTGGTGGCCGGACACAGTGCTGTCGTGGACCTGGGCCATCGGGTCACTGCTAATATCCGGTCGTGAGTTTGAAAAAAAATAAAAAAATACAACGTCCAGAAAATACCTTGTTTGTGTCATGTTTACTTTGTGGTTTCAGTGGCAACCTGTTCAGACAGTCAACTAGATACATTGGGGTGAAATTTCCTATAAAAGCATGATTTTCTGCAATGGAAGCAAGTATACGCTGTATATATTTTTAATTACATTGTCGTTCACTTCATGTTCACTTTCAGTTTCCGCTGCAACCCTTCGAACCAGCTGTCATATCTGTGCACTGCGCATGCTGCTATGTAAAATCTATTGCTTTGAGGTATGGCAAAACCCCTTGTTGACACAAACATAAGAATTAAAAAAATATAATCAAAATTCAAATCATTACTCCACTCCCTGACCATGGTGATGGTATTCCACAGAAAAAGTTTCATAATTAAGATTCCAATGCGTTGAAAACAATTATCTCCAGGAGGTGACCGCTAATTGAATAACAACTGTACGTTACACAGGTAATTACGAGTCAGGAGCGACTTGACCCTCCTAAACTAGCATCAACAATCCGACCTCAGTATTTTGTGCTGCATTCAAGCCCTGTCCCAGCTGGGAGCATACTATTCCAAAAGCCTGATTATATGTAGCGGAAATTAGGATGAGTGAACGCAGTGTAATGAACACACGTTGAAGAAAAACACACAAGTCAATCCCCAGTCACATCAGGATATAATCCGGTCATCTGATCTAGGGTATAATCTCTGCGAGGAGGGTGGGGTTTGCGGGCTGGGCAGATGCCGCATGGAGCATGTGGAGAGGATTGTGTTGGAGCTCTGAAGTGGCGTTTCCAAAAATACAACGCAAAGAGAGAAAGGCATCCACACCAATTCAGAGGCCATAGGCACAAGACAATGCTGAGAGACAGAAGACAAGTATTGGCTACTTGTATGCTCTCCTGTGTGTTTTCTCATGATACGCGGTACAAAAATCACCGGTTAGGTTTACTGCAGACTCAAAGTCATCTTTTTACAGATTTTAGGCGACTCAAGCCTTTAAATTGTTTGCAAAAACATGCTGGTGTTAGGACTCACAATTTTTCTTCTAAAAGCACATACATACAGTATATACATGTGTATATTTATACATATTTTTTTTCACTTGATATGTTCCCACAGTTATCTTTTATTCCCTTCCAAGTCTTCTCTAGTTAGCAAACAGCTTCTTCCTTGTCTGTTCCTCTACCCTTTTTACAGTTCAATAAAAGTGATAAAGTACAATATACTGTATGTGCAGTCTCAAAAGCCTTTTCAGGTCATTAAAAACTGCAGGGCGTCCATAGATCAAATCGCCCATTGTGCAGGAATCGGTCACAAACTGTCCCCCCGCACCCCTCCTTTTTTTTTTTTTACATTTAAATTATTAGTCTAAAAACGCGAAAAGACATTAGCTCTATGCCTAGACCCAGTTGCAAATCTAAAAAATATATTAAAAAATGTAGTGCTTTATGACCACTTCTGTAAAGCTACAACGCTCTGTCTGTCTGTCTTTTGGGGGGAACAGGACACCCCGCCCCTTTCCCGGCAAATAGCCCCACTCCCACCGGCCTAGCAGACTACAATGAGGCACCAAAGGAATGTTGCAGCCCCCCCATAAAAATCCCTCGGCCCGTCTGAGCGTCATCACGCCGTCCAATAGCTGCATGGAGGTGAAAAGATATGGAGGGGTGAGAGTATGACTGGGGCGGAGGGGGGGCTACATTCCTCACTGCTCTGTCCTCTGGCTGGCCGTCTGCTGGACTGGCATTGTGGATGGCGGTCAGCTGAAAGGGGGTTGGGTGGGGAGTGGGACGTGGAGGGTTTACCCACAGCTGACCTGAAATCAGATGGCTTTTTTTGGTGGGGGCGGGGGACTTGGCGAATCAGAGATGTTCACACTGACTGACAGAGAAGGACAAAATGAGACTGCAATTGACAGTTAGGACTGTGTATAGGATCATCAGTAGCTCCCTCCCCCATGTTGAGGACTCGCAAGCTTCACGCTGTCCATGTTCGCCCAGACACAATCAGAATTGTTCTGCCTTGGCTGAGGTCTGCACTATTTTGTTTCTACTGCCAAAAGTTAGGATATGTTGCAAAATCACTGATTGGGTTGAAGAGCAGTAGGGGGTTGCGTTCAGCTTTAGTGGCAACCAGAAGTAAATTATACACACAACAAAAATATATCTACAATAGGTTTTTCAACAAACACAAAAATAAAGTTCTTAATTTTGTTTGGTTCATATTTACTTTCGGCTTCAGTGCCAACCCGCTTCGGCAGCAGACTATGCAGAAATGTAAATAGTCCCACAAGTACGGGCAGTTTATTTAAAAATACATCCAAGAATCTCCTTTAAAAAAAATAGCTTTACTTTCAGCTTCAGTGCTAACCCATTTAGGCAGCCAACTAAAAAGAATAAAAGCACCCAAAAAAAAAAAAGCATGAATTTCACAATTAGATACATTACATGATAAAAGTTCAAAATTTCACTTTGTTCGCTTGGTTCCTTTTGACTTCTGCAGCAACCCATTTAGTCATCAAACTATTAGAATTAAATATAAAAGCAAGTTAATACACTGTAAATAGGAGCGTTCCGATCAGTTTTTATTTCCTGCCAATTACGATATGATCATCCATGAATAAGATCTGCCAATTCCGATCACATTGATGAGCTGCAACTTTTTTCACTAAAAACAGCCAATTTGCGAGATGTCTTCATCGTTTTGACCTTGTGTCGACAAGCGTGACAAGAAGCTAATAGATAAGAGTAACGTCAGAATCAAAAGCCAGAATCAAAAGCGGAACAACTGCTTGAAACCCACCTTTTGTTTCACACTTGTCACCTGAC